CAAGTTGCTAGTTTTGAGAGCAACTCAAAAGGACTGTGCTACTATCAATTTAAGTATATACCAATTATAGTTATGGGATTAAACACCTAATCCAACAATTATTGCGATGTTAACTATGCAGGAGATGAAGATACTTGTCGTTCAATAACAAGGTATGCTTTTATTCTTGGGTCTGGAGCAGTTTCTTGGTGTAATAAGAGACAACCTACGATATCTCTATCTACTACTGAAGCAGAGTACCAAGTCACAACAATGGCTTCTCAAGAGAGCACATGGCTTATGCAATTGTTAAAAGATTTACACTAAGAAACAAAGTATATTGTCCTCTTTATTGTGATAATCTATCATCAATACGATTGGTAGAGAATCCAATTTTTCATGCAAGAACCAAACAAGTTAAGGTTCATTACCACTTCATCAGAGAAAAAGTCATACAAGACAAGGTTAAGTTGGAACATGTAAGAACAAACAATCAAGTTGTAGATGTTTTTACAAAGAGCCTGAGTGGTAACAAATTTGACAGGTTCTGTTATCTACTTGGAATGGTTGAAGTTGGTGTTGAGAGGGAGTGTTAAAGTTTGCAACACCATCATGTGCCTTTTGTTTATTTTACTACACTAAATAAATGTTCTCAGTTAGCATAGTCATTATAGTCAAAGGTTGTCCTAGTTTCTAGCTTTATGGATTTGATGTGTGCTTATTCAGTTATATATTTCATACATTATCATTATTATTTTATGCTACATTTTGTGTTAATTCTAGAACAAAAGGTACTTATTATGTTTGAAATATGTTTTGTAGTAGCGAAGACATGATTGGGACAAGAAGGAAGCATACGAGGAGCTGGAAGTAGGAAAACGGGAGATAAAGCAAAAAGAAGACAAAGAAGGATGTTGTTGGACAGCTTGACCCCTTGTCAGTGTTTTGCCCATATCTCATGACTCGTTAATCCGATTGATGAGAGTCAAAATGTTCTGAAAACTAGAAAGAATTTCGGATGACTTTCATGTTTTGAGAAAATGTTGATTCCCAACTAACACGCCGTGTTTATCACCAACACGTTGTGGTTAATAGAAGCTTCACGATCGTATGAGCTAACTTGGAGAATACGAGATTTTAATGAAGAACACGGTGTGTTGGCTATCAAACACACCGTGCTGATGCTGAAACCTATAAATAGAGCCGAAAATTAGCCCTAAAGATATATATTGAACCCTAGATCGATTCCTGCGAATATAAACCCCCAAGAAGCCGTTTTGAGGGTCTAGAAGGCGGTCAGACGGCCATTAAGCTGACAGGAGCGAAGACCTGAAGGATTGGAGAGAAGATTCATGCCGGTAATCATGTGGTTCGTTGTTCCGACCAAGATTAGCATTCAAATGTGATTCTATATGCATTTACTTTCTGATGTGGGTGTTAAACCATTTGCTTTGTGTTTATGATTGAATGAAACCATGATTTTGTGGATTAATTGCTATTTGGATTATTTATTCGTGTTTAATTTATTTTGTCAAGTTTGATTGCAAGATCCATATGCGTTAGAGATTTTTACTTATTCCTTATTGTTGAATTGATAGAGTTTAAATGACCATCTGGCTGTGTTGATTTGAATCAAGGCTGTCCACCAGAGTTACCAAAACCTAGGGTTTGGAATTAAGTAATGAACCTTAATGTGTGTGCATGAGTAAAATGACAATTCTTTGCATGATTTAATTCATATGACCATTAGGGTTAAATAAGATCAAATATTGCTTACTAAATACCGATTTGCATGATTGTTTGTTCACCTGATCAATGAATTAATAGCTGTGTTGAAATCAAATGATTGGTATTAGTGAACATGAACCTAATCATATTAGAAATCGGTGAACATGAATAAATAAGTCTGTGTGCGCAATTATCTATGATTTTAAGATGTAATTTATCTAGACCAAAGTACCTAAATAGATTTATCCCGGTCAATTTAGCGAGATTTGCTATTTAGACGTTTGTTGAGATTTAATTCCATAAAACCTTTCTTTACTGCTTTTGTGTGTAACCTATAATCAAACACTCCAAATTAATTCACTACCGTTCCCATTGTGTTCGACACCTGGTCTTACCATAACTATACTATTACACGATTATGTTCACTGCCTAGTGTGTATGTGTTAGTCCGGTTGCGATAAATTCAGTTTTATAAATTTTAAACTTGAGTATTTAATATATATATATATATATATATATATATATATATATATATATATATATATATATATATATATATATCACATCAGGAGTCATGGTAGGTAGTTGAGTAAATTATAGAGTTTGTTTCCTATTTATTCTCATTTGTAAGCCTATTAAAGGCTATGCTTGTTTTTTGAATATGTAGCAACAATAAAGCATTCTTATGTACATATTGTTCCTTTCTTCTATTGCATTGCTTAATTATTATCCCTGTGCAACTTTATGCTTAGTTGAGTAGTACATTCGCATTTCTTGAAGGGTACTAAGTCGTAGTCTCAAAGTCAACAATGTATATCATTTTATCAGAGTTCGATTCATTCTGATGTCTAGTTTTAAGTTTAAAGTAAGAAGGTTCAAAGAATGCAACTCCGACAATGCAACTTGGCAAAGCTCTCTAGGGCGTACGTGAGAGCTTATTAAGGATGTAGGTTTCGTGTTCTTCATTTTGGTTATTTCATTGAAAAAGATTATTAGGGATGAAGTTTCTATGTTTTTGTGTTTGGATTTGATTTTAAATGTTTGGAAACCATTATATATATAATTTTAGATTTATTTTTAGTGGTTGTTGTGGGTGACGGTCGATGGTAGTTGGTGGTGGGGTGAAATACTAGCCCTAACATAATCACCATTAATAATGGAAGATGATGGTGGTCATGAAATTGAAACCCAATCTATAATATCTTATCATTCAAGGTAGATTTTCTAGAAAATTCATAGTATTCATCGATGGTAATTGGTGGTGGGGTGATAAATGGTGGCGGTGTTGGTGTTGATGTTTAGAAAAATATCTTTTTAAAATGATCCTATGGGACATATTGGTCGTGTTTTTTTTTTCAATGTGACAACCACAAAGACGTAATGTTGAAAACGGGCCATCCATACCATTTTTTGAAACCAAAAAGACAGTTATGAAGTATATCTGAAAATAAGTCTCATCTTGTTACTTTTCAAAAACCAAAAGGACCATTTTCGAAACTTTGCCTTCATTGTGAATCTTCGATATGCATTTATTTAGTCAATGCACAATTACTCCTCTCCCCTCCTTTTCCTCATTTTTGTCGACTCCGTTCTTAACACCCGTGCTTGATTGGGCGCGTAGATCGACTTATTAAACCATCCTCGCTCCTTTTTGGAGTTTCATATTTCTATTTTGACCACAAAAGTTTGACAACTTCTTCATTTTCACACCATTGTAACTCATAGTCAAGACACTCACTATTGGCGTTTTCTAATATTATTGGATTATTTTAAAATAAATCTTCAAATTATAAATATAATGTACTATGAATTTTATTTTTAATATGTGTCCTTACTAAGGGCACATAAAAATATTTATTAAAATATTAAATATAATAAATATTACCATAATTAAATGTGATAAACATTAGTAATGGGTAATATTACCATAATTAATTGCAAAATAAATTTATTATAAAGAATATTATTTATCATTAATAATTATCACATTTAATTATAATAATATTTTCATAATTAATACTTCAATTAATACTTTTTATATTTGCCTTAAGCGCATATTAGAAAATCCCAAATTCTATTCCATCATCACTTCTCTTTTTCATTCGATAATCATAACATAATTTTCTAATTTTTGGTTGAATTACGAGAATGAATTACGAGAAAACCTAAACAATAAGCATTTAACAAACACCTAAATATATTCCAAACCAATATATTAAAAATTTTATTTCCAAATTATAGATTTGTTTTATTGTCATGAAAGAACGTTGTCTTTTATAACAAATGAAAAAAATAAACTAAAATCCCGCATATATATTTTTATATATATTGTTATTTTGTCATTTTATTTAAAATTACATGAATATTTAATAAAAAGATGGTCTACATCTATCTGCTATACCACATATTAAAAATAAACTATAATTCTGCACACACATATGTATATATATATATATATATATATATATATATATATATATATATATATATATTGTTATTTTGTCATTTTATTTAAAATTACATGAATATTTAATAAAAAGATGGTCTACATGTATCTGCTAGACCACATATTAAAAGGTAAACTATACATTTTGGACGTCCTACATTGAACCTGTTTTAGGGTTTATAACATAGAGATAATCGTACAATACTAGTAATATTCTAAATGTTTACGAATTGAGCTTACAACCTAGTTTATGGACTTTTGTACATTAACCAGAAGGCTCCCATTGCGGAGACAATATTAAAGTTGCAAACAAACCACATTATGACATATATGTGTAATGTATACTTGCAATATTTTTGTTAGCACTAATTCTAGATATCTCTTATATATTTGAGCTCAAATCGAATATTTCCTAATGTGTTTTTATTTTTATTTTTTTATTTTTTTTGGAGTTTTATATTTTAAGATTCTAAAGGTTTTTTTATTTTCAATTGTTTGTTTTAGTGAATAGCCAAATTTACATTATTGAAAAGAGGATAAAAGTTTTTTTTTTTGGAAATGATTTTACAATCTTTCCGTAAAAAAAAAAAGAGAATGATAAGTTAATATAAAAGAGTCCGATCAAATTTAGGTTTTTTCTTGTAAATAAACACATAAAAACAAAGTTTTTATATTTCTTATCCATCAACAGTTAATATATTGATCATAGAAATAACCGGAAAAGAAATCAATGCAACAATATCACGATATTTGTGGCCTTAGTTGAAAATGTTAAACTCTATGGACCTCGTTTGAAAAAATTAGAAACATAGGTGGCTTGCCCCTACATAAATGAACAACTGGCAAAAATCAGTCTCTTCCCCAATCCATCTTCACGGCGACGATTGAAATTCCCCACTCGTTTCGACAAACGCGTGGCTGACACTCTCTATCTCTTCAAGAGGCGCCACCCCATCTCCGATTCTCCCCCATCGTCTTCCATATTGACGAGAGGACACAAAAAAGCGGAATCGTCTGGTTCAATCTATAATACGAAGGTTTACTTTCTGTGTTTGTGAGTGTCTTTTCTGCCTGCGGCCGGCGATGGTGGAGCTTGGTCAAACAGATACCGAAGTATACGCGCCAAAGAAGACCTTACACGTATGGCGGGCACTGTTGAACTGGTTGGCTTTCTTCTTTCAGATCTTCGTTCAGATCATTAAAGCCACTCCTACCTTGATTAATTATTCTTCTTCTTCGTCTTCCTCTCCGTCTTTTGAGCCTTTGCCCGTCGTTGAATTGTCTGAATCTCCCGAATCTCCGTCACCGTACGCTGCCTCTGCTGTCAATATTCCAACTGCCGATGCCGCCTATGATCTTTCGCAAAAGCTCACGGTACGCTTAATTTTCATTTCAATGTGTTTTTTCGTTTCCTTGATTTGCTTTTTTGTGTGAGTAAAAACTAGGTTTACAAAATCGTTGTTAGTTATTACCATAATTGTTCCCCTCATTTATGTTATTGCATCTATTGAATGAACAACTTACAACTGTTAGGCGTTTGTATTAATTTCGATGACGCATGCGCTTTTCTAGAATTTGAATTCGTGTTCAAAACTTCAAATTACTAGATCATATGATAATACTACTGCAATAAGTGATACTTTACACCAGGGGACCAAAGTTTTTACCTCTTCTTACTGTTTAGAGTCATGGAATCAACACTTCTACATCACAGATCAGATTTCAAGCAGATTACATGCATGAACCTAATTAGATTTGAGCTTGATTATAAACATTGATGTAACTCTGGCTGTAGGTTGTTCTTGATTTGGATGAAACTCTGGTATGTGCTTATGAGACTTCCAGTTTACCTGCCATTGTTCGTAATCAAGCCATAGATGCTGGATTGAATTGGTTTGAGCTAGAATGTCTATCTTCAGACAAGGTAACAATGTCTATCTTCATCATCTACTCATCTTCTTTATCATCTATCATGAAGATAAATAACCAAACATAACATTCAAACTTCTGATTTGAAGGAAAGTGAAGGCAAACCCAAAATCAACTATGTAACAGTATTCGAACGTCCTGGATTGCACGAATTTCTTACCCAACTCAGTTTATTTGCTGATCTTATTCTATTCACTGCAGGTCTTGAAGGTTTGCTCACTGCTTTTCATTTTGTTGATTTTTTCAGCTTCAGTTATTAATTTATTACATGATTGCAGGTTATGCTAAACCACTTGTTGACAGAATAGATGCTGAAAACAGATTTAGTCGTAGACTTTATCGCCCTTCTACAAGTTCCACGTAAGTCGTTCTGCAAGAAATAACAATGTACTTTCTTTTTCTTCTTTATCATAGCATTGTGCTTCTTTTTTTTTCATTACAACATTGTACTTTAAAATTATTTTTTATAAGACCATTGTACATTAAAAAAATCTCACCTATTATAACAATGAGTAACATCTTGATTTAAATTATGATAACATGTCACAAGCCATGTCATTGTCTACATAGTACATAGGACGTTTGCATGTACTAGGTTTTCGGAAAACCGTTTTTTACACCTAAGAAAACATATTTAAAAAAAAAAAAACTTCCAAAAGATACCAAATTGAACCTAAAAATCCGGTTTTTCTATTAACCAGAAAGAGGTTAAACGTTTTTAATTTTTACAGGGAATACAGGGAACATGTGAAGGACCTTTCTTGTATATCAAGAAACTTCTGCAGAATTGTGATTGTAGACAACAATCCATTCAGTTTCTTATTGCAACCAGTGAATGGAATCCCATGCATACCTTTTTCTGCTGGACAACCACATGATAATCAGCTTCTTGATGTCATTCTTCCACTTCTGAAACAACTGTCTGAACAGGGTGATGTAAGGCCTCTACTCTATGAAAAGTTTCACATGCCTGAATGGTTTCATAAACATGGTATTCCTAATGGATGGGTGGGAACACAGGGGTAAACTTGTCATTTGTACAGAGTAGAAAAAGCTTTTTGAGGCACCTAAACATGGTGGTAATTTGTTGGAAGCACCACATTTTGTATAGTTTATCTGTGTAACACTTGTTTTTGAAGTTATTTATTGTTGTAATTTGGTACATAGTTTGCTACAATGGGTGTTAATTTTTTATGATACTAATTTCCAAGTTCTTTAGTCTTTACACCTATTTTGGATGAGTACATATTTTGACTTCACGTCGATATTTAAAGTCGACATTTAAAGTCAACACAAAGCGAGTATCAATTTAAAAAAATAAATAAATAAAAGCCTTTCCACACAAGGCAACATGGATTATTTTAAAATTCCATGTGACATGGTTAAACGTCGAAGCAATGGGTGAGAATCCCCCATCCATCCAACATGACCAAAACATTCGACTCCAACACACACACACAACCTTTTTGAATTCACAAATTATATTTGAATTCAACACAAAGGTTGAAGAGTTTAATTTGGAATCACTGCGACAACCTCAATGACGAAAAAGGAAGAAAACGACATCGACATCCTGAAATAAAATACATCGTCACCAAAATCGCTGGTGTCACCCATACAAACGAAGAAGAGACAAATGACAAAGCAATGTCAAGTTGATAAATTGAGTATCATGGAAATGACCGAGAAAAATAAAGTGAAAGTCTTGGATGAGGAGTTAAGCTTGCTCAAGGAGAAATGAATGAAAAAAATTTGTGGTTCTCTTTTCAACCGCATGACCATTTGACCGGAGAGATGTGAAGTATGATGGTCACACACAAGCGGAAAATGGACGCGATTTATAATTGGAAGTTATAGAAGTTAATTTAGGATTTTAATTTTCGTTTTAAGAATTTAATTGTCAATTTTACGATTTTAATTAATGTTTGTAGTGGTTTGCTTTTTTAATGGAATGTTATTTTCAATTTTGGTTTTATTTATTTTTAATTTTAGTACATGTTTAAATTTAAAGAATAAAATAAAATTAAGTTGGTTGAGAGATATATGAGATAGATTTTCTATGTGGTGTAGATTGAGAGATATTTATATATTGTAGTTGATTTTAGATCAAATTCATACTAAAAACTTTGATATTTATATATTGGAGATCGATTTTTTAATTTTTTATTTTTTAATTTTGATACGCTTTCTTTTTACAAATTTAGTATTTATTATTATTATTATTATTATTATTATTATTTGAGGTTTTTATAACATCTTAGGTCCATGTTTCAACTAAAATGACTATATTTTCGAAACTAAAATTGTATAAAACAATTAGAAAAAACATCATAAATGGTACCTGTGGTTTCCCAAAATCTGAAGTTTAATCCCTGTGGTTTAAAAACATCATAGATGGTCCCTGTATTTTCAAAACTTTTGACAATTGGTCCTTATTGCTAAGGCTGTTAAGTTTTGTCCATTAACTGAATGGCATTTTCGTCATTTCACTGCCACATGGACTATTTCTGATGTTTTCACTTATTAAAAAAAATGAAATAAACAGGATTATGAACTGTGCAATGAGAGAGAGAGAGAGAGACCATTTAAATCTATGCAATGATAATTGGTATGCATACTGAAACTATCAAATGAATATAAACCCTAAAATTAGGTTCCAACAACATAAACAGACGAAATTAAATTCAATCACTATAAAGGAGATCAGAAATACGATTCAGAAAGATGATAAAGAGGCCTGATATTAGAACAAAATAGAAGAACTGATTGTTGAAATTCAATCCAAATTAAAAGTAAAAACAGCTCAAGTCCTCAAACACTGAAATCATTATAGCATTTACCAAAACCCCAAAAAAGAGAAATCATAGATAATGAAAAACTGTAAACAACAAATTACCCATACAGAAACCGGAAAACAGCACCATGGATCAGTACCTCCCTCCAGCTCCGCCACTATATCCACTACGACCACCGCCATATCCTCCTGTTATCGTTGTGGAAACCATCATACCCAAAGAAGTAAGCAATTCAATTGTCTCATTGTCGACCTCAACACGGTCAGTCTTAATGGCGGATTCATCGGGGACAAAGTCCATACGATGTTCTCTCTCTTCCTCCCGTAGCTTGAGTGAGATGCCTCTCACTGGACCCTTCTGTATACGCTTCATTAGATGAGTTGAGAATCCGGCGATCTTGTTGCGGAGGCGCTTTGACGGAATGATGGCAACTTCTTCCAAGATCTTCTTGTTGGTGTGGAAATCCAAGGTCATTTTGGAGTAGTAACGCTCGATTACAAGGCGAGAGGATTTCTTAACGGTTTTGGTACGGACGCGACCCATGGTTCTCGGTGGAGAGGAGGCGGCGTCTGCTGCTTTTTTGATCGGAGAGATAACGAGAAGGAGAGGTTAGGGTTTGTAAATGGGAATTAGGGTTTTTTAAATCTATGGTTTAAAAACACCATAGATTTTTAACATCAAATTCGCAATCGGTTTTTCAGGCAAAATATACCCGATTATGAACTGTGCAATGAGAGAGAGAGAGAGAGAGAGGAGAGAGACCCTTTTTATTTCATTTTTTTAAAATAAATGAAAACATCATAAATGGTCCCTGTGGTAGTGAAATGACGAAAATGCTCTTCAGTTAACGGACAAAGCTTAACGGAGTTAGCAATAAGGACTGATCGTTAAAAGTTTTGAAAGCACAAGGACCATCTATGATGTTTTTAAACCATGAGGATTAAATTTCAGATTTTGAGAAACCACAGGGACCATTTATGATGTTTTTTCAAACAATTATATGCAACAACCGAAAATAGCCATTTTATTTGAAACAATGACCAAATAGGTTAAAAAAAACATGAAATAATGACCAAAATTACTACTTGCAAGTTAAAAAAATTTGTTATAAAATTTGTAAATATCATATGTACCCATTGACAAAAAATGTAATTTACTGACTTATCAAGAGATCAACTTTGCAAGAAGAGAACTTGTGATACTAGCATTTTGTCACAATTTCTTTAAAAGCATAGTTCATCGTATACTTTTAATGTTGACTAAATTGCACAAATGGTTCCTGTGGTATGTCGAAAATTGTCACTTTGGTCCAAAAAAGTTTGTACTAGCACCAGTGGTCTAAAACTTTCATTTTGTTGCGTTTTTGGTCCAATCTGTTCTGATTTTTTCAAAATGACGGATTTGCCCCTATTAATATGATTTTCTCTTTTTTTCTTATTTGTTTTTATGATTTTATTACTTTCATTAAAAAAAACACTATCCCTAAAAACCCCACCGACCCCGCCATTTCCCTCATCAGTCACCATAGACTTTATCTCTCTCTCTCTCATTGTCTTTACTGTTGAAAGACCCAAACTTTCATACTAATGACATTGTTACTCCAAGTTACTCCAAAACATGCTACATGCATATTCATAAACATATTTTATAGATATATGGTCTTATTACAAAAGACTGGATACAAACCGACTATTAAGACTATTACAAAGTATTATATTTATTACATAACTACCCAGGATATTATAGTTTTATACACACATGAACACTAATGACAAAAGTAATAGTATTATCTATTCAAAATCTTCTAACAGTATATGTCTATACTGGATCCTTATTACCTGCAATGATTAAACACTGAGAGGGATAAGCGGTGACGCTTAGTGAGTTCAATAATAGATACAATATAACGTTATGCCATATATATACATCAATATGGAAGAAGCAAAGAGGAACAAGGAACAACAAAGGCATATGTGAATCATGTGACAAACTTTCCATATCAATCAATGATTTGATTTAAAGATATACAATCAAAGAGATACAACAATTTCAACTTGATATACATCAATAAGACTTCAGCCCAAGTGGCACAGAAGACATACAATTTCTGATTAAACATTTTGGTAGATTTCAGGCTTTCAACCCTATCTAACCTTCTGGCAATGCCATAGGGGTAGAAGTCATTCTCTTATGAGACATGCTCTACACGGCCAGAGGCTACATACTAATATCACTGTGAAGCTAAGTCCTTTCACTGATCACATGGTTAAAGGGTACAACTTTGCTATCAAAATATCACGAAATAATTACACGGGAAAATAACATGGAAAAGAATATAGTATATATAACACATAACATACAATTGTTCCTATATATTAAACTCACTGTGAAATAACCGGAGGTTAAAATAGTAATTTGGGCAGCACTTCGTTCTAATAAATAAGTTTCTTCGATGTAAACCGGAAGCTTTATTGAAAACCGGGCCTTGCGAGGGTTGAGTTTCAAACCGAAAAGATAAATTTCTCGGGGTCTTCGGGCACTTCGGAACGTTTTTCGGGTGTTGGGTATAATCTCGGGGCTTTGGGGAAGTTGAAATAGCAAAAATAAAGGTTTAGGGGTGAAAAATGTGAGAATTTCTAACATTAGCCGGGAGGGTTCGCACCCTCATATTTATAGGGCGAACTTCGGACCAGGGGGGGCACGTGGCTCGCATGCGAGGGTGCCAGGCGTCGGAGCTCAGACGCAACATGCGTCGGACACGCGTTGGTCTCGGATGCGAAGGGTTGAGACACGCGGGTCAGACACGGGGCAAGCTGCGAGGATCCGGGTGACGTGTCCGAATTTTGACCTTATCGATGCGAGATTTCTCGGTTTTTGTGCCTATATATTAAAAAATCCATAACTTTCGCATACGAGCTCCGTTTTCGACGTTCTTTATATGCACGCGTAGGCGATATTATAATCTACAACTTTCGTTTAGACTCCGTCGGCTAATTTTGACTTTATTTTTATTATTATATTTTTAACAGGCCCGGGACAGGAAAAATCCGTTAAAAAATCATAACTTCTTCATCCGATGTCCGTTTTCGTCTGTCTTTTTACCGTTGTACTACTATTGACGAGACCTTCGATTCTCGTTTAGGTTACGTCGGCTAAAAATCACTCGATCTTTATTTCGAATTTTTAGCTGTCTACTGCTATTCCGAAACTTAGAAAAATCATAACTTCCTTATACGAAGTTAGATTTGGACTTTCTTTTTATGAAAATTCTTGGTTTAACGAATACTACGACTTTCATTTAGATCACTAAATCTAAAAAGTAGTTTATCGAAAACTTACTTTTTACGCTAAAATAGTGTTTGCCGGTTTTGTCGCGGATATTCGATTGGTCATAACTTCTTCGTTATAACTCAGATTTCGATGAGGTTTTCGCCTAAATCTTTCTAACGAAATTATCTACAACTTTCAATAATAAAATTTTACTTATTTCAAGTTTTATATTTTTGTTAAATTTCAATATTTGACATTTGATTGGAATCTCATAAGACTTCCAATATTTTCCGAGTGATTCTAAACATAGTTTTACTTAATTTCTAGTAAAAAACTATCCGTTAGAACTCAACGCTCAATATCATATAATATTTCATAATATTATTTATTTTTAATCTACAAAACACGATAACTGAACGTATATGTTACAAGTGTCCATCGGAAACCACCACATCCACTGCCGGAAATCACCGCCACTATCGGAATCCACCACCTTCACTACTGGAAATCACTGTCACTGCCGGAATTCACCACCTCCACTACCGGAAATCACCGTAACTGCCATAAAACAATCACACTGTCGGAATCCACCACCTAGCCCTGTGAAGATCTGAAAGACCACTACCACCATCGTCCTTCTTCGATTATTCATATCACCGTGATCTGAAACCCTCACCGCCGATCTATCTTTCTTAACACCGATCTGAAAGCCCTCCACATCGGAATGGTAGAAACCACCACCACCACCACCGTTGACCTATCTCTATCGTCTTCGGTCTGAAACCGTTTATGTCGAAAAAGTTCAGATCTACTTCGTCTTCGTCTAAAGTCCAGATCTATGTCGTTGGAGTTCAAGTCTACGTCGGAAGCCATCGTCGTAAGTTCAAATCTACGTTAGAAACCATTGCCACCACCACAGCTCAATGTCGTCTCCACCACCTTCGTCATTGGAGTTCAGATCTATATCAAGAACTCCGACGACACTGTAAGTGGTTAGGGTTTCTGGTGGTGGTCCGACGAACGAAAGAAGGGTGGCGCCGACGGTGGTTCTTCGATGGTTTTCAGATCGACGTACCGGTAAGTGGTAGTGGTTGTTTACATTTTTCTGGCGGAGTTCTGATGTAGGTTTGGTGGTCAGATCTATGTCGTTGGTGGTGGTTAAGATGATCCGACGAAAAGGGGCATCTCCGATGAATAGGGTGATCCGACAGGCTGAGGTGGTCCGGTAGATGGCGGTGGTCCGACAGACGGTGGTGGTCCGACAGGCAGTGGTGTTGGTCCGACAGTAATAAAGAGGGAGAGAGAGAGAATATCTATCCAATGTAATTAAGAGTGATAATGGGTGGTGGGTTAGTAGGAGGTGGGGGTATATACTTATTTTTTTCTTTTAATTAGAAAAGTATTAAGTAAATATAAAATATAAAATACCAAGGGCAAAATTGGCATTTAAAAAATTTATAACAAATTAGACCAAACTTGCAACAAAATGAAAGTTTTGGACCACTGGTGTCAGTCCAAACCTTTTTAGACCAAAGTGATAATTTTCAACATACCACAAGGACCATTTGTGCAGTTTAGTCTTTAATGTTTCCGATTGTTATACATATAATGTTATGATCGAGTTATGAATCTATAAAATGTTAGGTCTAGAAGCTACAAATTCTCAAAGTCCTAACAAAACCATGACACACGAGTTGTTTGAAACCACACATTTTTTTTTCTTTTTTTCTTGCATCTTGCATCTTGACTTGACTTATACTTTTTGTGTTCTACGAATTGGGACTATCAAAAATGCAATGGGAAGAGAAAAGGAGGGATGAACTAGTTAATATCAAGAGGAAAAATAACGTAAGGAATGAAAGAAACCCGGGAAACTAAAAATAAAATATGGATAGAAAATATTCGACAAGTAGGGAAATTTAAATGGCATGATGATTATTTGATTACCATAAATGAGGAGATTATCATTGTAATTTCCATTATTTGGTTTTTGACGATTGTCGATAAAAATGTAAATTCAAAACTATTTTTTCTTCTTTTAATTATAAGAAAGGAAAAACGAAGCATGTAATGGTCCTCACATTTAAATTTGTAGACTTTATAGTGAAAAGTAAGCACAAAACAAAGACTTTTGGTGCAATTCATCAACATTTATGTCAAAAATACAAATACAAGAAAAAAATATAAGGTAAAGTAAATGAAACAAAAAATGGCTTTTGAAACATGCATATAAGAAGGGTCAATGTTATAAAATTGACACTAATGTACAATTT